TTGATGGCGTTGACACGGCAGGTCCTGGCTTTTCCTCGGACTCATGTGTGTGGCCCTAGACGAATCGAATGCCCCGGGGAGCAGTTTCTAATGAAGGACAACAAAGTGGGAGGATTTCCCTCCGATGACAGAGCCTGCTCATTTGGCCGAAATTTTGACGCTTTATGAGCGGTCCCTTTAGTGCTGAGTGTGCGCAAAAATGTAATTGAATGAATGAGAATACGAATACGTAATCGGAGGGGAAGGAGACAAAAGGTCAGTTGGCCATAAAATGTTTGTCTTCCATTAGGCCAAGATGCTCGCACGCCAGCACCGCCACTTTGAGTCAGAGAAAACAAAATAATACTCGTTATAACTCACCCCCCGCAGGAAAAGAGAGTTGTCAGCTAATGTAGGCTCCCCAATAAAACCCATCGGACACCACCAGAAATTTGACAGCATTATGAGCTGCTGGGGAAAACCTTTTTTTAAATATCTCAGGCACATATATTTTCTTTTTATTTTTGCTTAATTCGCGTGACTCGCGTGCATTATTTTTTGCCTACCTTTTTTCGGCATTGTTTTGAGTCACGAATGTAAATTTCGGGTGGGGGGAGATTCGAGGTTGGGAAATATTGAAGCTCATGTTACGAGTATCAAATATTTATAATTTCTCGAGGCAGGGCGCCTCTGCGCCGAAGTCGAATCATCATGACAACTTACTTAAGTTTGCTAAAGCAGGCGGAGGGCAAAATCAGGAACTGTAGATAAGATGAAAGAGGGACGAGTATCCGTGACTCCTGGCCCCTGGGCTTTCGACCTGCCTGCGGAGAAAACTTTGGATAGTTGGAAGTTTGCCGCAGCTTAAAATGCTAATTAGCAGGCCGGCAGGTTTTTAAGGGGGCTTAAGTGGGTGGAAAGAGGATCCCCATCAGGCAGCAAAAGTTGTCAGCCACTTGGCACGTAAGATATCCATGCTCGCACTTTCAGGAAAGACGGGGAGGCTATTCCCTCTGGCAGCCTAGGAACGAGTTTTAAAAAAGTACTACAAAGATGTGGAAACTTTCAAAGATACTGCAATATTTAAAAAAAAAAAATGATATACAAGATATATAGACAAAGACAAGACATAGAAGACAACCATGATAAACCATATTAATGCTAACTACTTTTCAAAAACAAAACTGTTTAAAATTATTTTTTTTTTCAGAGACTAATAAGCTGTTTGCAAACCTAACAATACAAAATAATAGCTCTTCATGTGGCAACCCATCATTGTGCTCCTCATCAGTATGCCTGGCCAGATGTCTGGCAAATGTCCTGGAAACTCCCGATGAATTCACTCAGTTGACATTTGGGATTCCAATTGATTTCGCACTGGGCCTGCCACTTTTTGTATCAGATGTTTGCTTTGCTGATTTGCAAAACGAAGTAAAAAGAAATCTCGGAGAAATTCGCATTCGCCTTGCAAATGAAAATCCTTGTGGCGAAAATATTCAAATGTGCAATATTGACACTTGATTTGCATTTATAATGGCTACGTGATTTTCGTGTTGGTTCCGGTTAAGGATTAGATAAGATTGCGGTTTCTTTTTATCCGCGCCGAGGTTGCTCCCTGGCTGTTCCGGATCCTTGGCCACCTTTTCACCGTATCTCGGGAATCTCTTATGCCAAATGTGTTAATTTCTCCACCCCAACTGGTGACCTGTTTTCGTCCTTTCGATTCCAGCATATTGCGCATAAAAAATTGAACAACTTGGCCTCGGGTTGTTTTCACCATAAAATAATCTTTTTAAGCCGAAAACAAATTACAAATAAGAGAAACGACAACAAAGAGAGGGAGCGGCATGAAATACCCTCTATATAATTTGTTCCATTTTTTCTTCGGCTGCTGTTTTGCATATTCTCCCGGTGTTCCCCCTGTGTTCTCTAACAAATTATAATGTATTGGAAATTGACAGAATTATGTAATGAATAGAAAATTATGCAAATGACAGCGCAGTTACATTTAATGGCTCGACCTTTTTCTTGGTCTCTCCTTCGGGTCAGGATGCAGAAAAGAAATCGAATTTTATTGGCAGCCCTGAGGAAGGTAAATCCTCCAGTGGAGAAAAACACATCTAAGGGTTTTTGCCATTTAAAAATGTCTTGAAAATAAAATAAACGAAAGGAAATTTTCTTCTTAAATGAAAAGAAAATTGTCCATGAAGAGGTCAAAATATATAAAGAATTTTCTTAAAAATTTGAGTTTTAAATTAGTTAATTTTTAAAGTATGTTTTCAAGGTATCAAAAGAAAAGTTTTTAATGCGAATACGAATCCTTACTCGAAGTTATTTTTAAAAATCTTATTTCCTTCAAGAAGATGATGAAATACCCAGTTCATTAAAAGTCCTCTCCTGTTTATCGGCGACTGGGGAGCAATAAGGATAAGTTTTCCGCCCCCGTTTATCGCAGGGATCGTTTTTCATATTCAAATATATTTTTCTTTTGCGGTAATTAATCATCCAGAAAAGGAAAAAAAGAGCAGGCAGAGCCAGATAGAAAACTGTCTCTCGAGATAATGTCAACATAAATTGTTACGGCAATTTTCTACAATTTTCCTAGTATTATTTATGTGGTTTCTGCAGACTAAATTTCTCGTGCGGGTTTTTTTTCTCTTTATTCCTTTAGGAAAATGCGAATTTAAAGGTTGAGCTTGGAAAATTAGCCCAACTGGGTGGACTGCGGGGTCTGGGGGGCATTCAATTTGATGTGTTGACTTTGGCCTGTGGCCAGGACGAAAATGGCAGGGGGTATGAGTTGAGGAACAACTGAATGCGGCATTTAATGAGTCTGTCAGCAGTCAGCGTCGTTCGCTTTACGCACTTCACTTCACTAAACTGCTGAAGGTCCAGAGGGGGAGGAATGGGTAGCTATACACACATACATGTGTGAGGGCTTTAACTTTCTCCTTTCCTCCCCTCGTGCTGTGGTCAGTTTAATCGCAAAGTTTAATGAACAGCTTAAGGGTTGAGGCGAGTATGTTGACCCGCCTGCGTAGCTTATTGACAATCTCCAATCAGCCAAGCCAACTCATTTCCATAATCCAAATCAAAAGCAATCTTAAATGATGAGGATAGCTAAGTGAAGACTTTGAAAACCTCTGGATGTCGACCTATAACATATATATTAAAAAAGGATAAAAACAAGTGCATATTAATTCCATTCCTTATTTCGACAACGTTCTCACAGGCTTAAGATTTCGGGTTGAATCGAATTTTTCCGGAGTGCTGATTGCTATTGCTATACTCCTGATTAAGCATTAGTTTTTTGACCAATTTTTATGACGATGTTTTTGTAAAAACTAAAACTTACAACTTATTGTCACATTTCCTTTTAAAGGCCGGCTCTCAGCACTATTTCATCACTTAGCTGTAATCCATTCAACCATCATCAGCCTCTTAATTTTCAACAGACTTACAATTTATGCAAATTAAATTTTTAGGTCGCTTCCGCTGTGGCACGCGAATCGAGGAGCGTGCTGCGATGTCGAGGACCCGGCAACGCCCCTTTTAGTCTTGCTGGCTGGTAAGTAAGCATATTATTATAATTGTTGAGCTCTCTGTCCTGGTGCTTCCCATTCTGGTTCTGATGGTGGTGACTTTCGATCCAATCTGAGGGATTAACCCTCAGGGCGTAAACAAAATTATGTTTTTATTGTTCCCGCACTTGACACGGTTCGATTTTGATTATTTTGCGGCGGTTGAAGTTCATATGTAGGAAAAGATGTGGCGGTTAAATAAGAAAAGATTGAGGAACCAGATTAGGTTCTAAGGGGCTCAATTATGATTTTGTAACATGTTTCACATTTTACTTTGTTTGCTTAGACGACATATAAAATATCTTTCTTAGTTATCATTCAGGAAATGTTTCAGTTATATTTAAAATTATATTTTAATTAAAGATATGTATGCTTGTAAGTTAATTAAAATTATATATTAGTTTAATTACATGTAGTTTTTAAAATTATTTAGATTAATATTAACCATTTCTTCTAGACTGATCTTATTATCTTGTGTCTTAAAAGTAAATCCTGCTGACTGTCTTTCTTTTCGTTTGGAGTGGCAAACAACGTTTTCCTTAGACTTTTTTTATTATTGATATATTAAATAAAAGCAAATATCCATATCTTCCGTCTAGGCTTTGTTTACTACCTACTCCTAAATTGTAATTTTTATTGAGTGCCTTTTATATTCTTTATTACGTTCAAACTCTTGATTCTGAACTCAAACTTTTCGGATGCCTAACAGTGGTTTGTGTCCAGGATTATACACTTTACAGAAGACAGGGATAGCAATACAATTAACTCACGTCTGAAAGGGATGAATAGATGAGGTTTTCTGTGTGAAAGACAGAGAAAACCACATCTTAAAACAGAGGGGAAATTGGATCTATGTACTTGACTCCGTCTTCATTGGCTGAACTCTTTATATAAGCGTAACTTTTTGAAAAAAGTGCAGGTTTGGGTTTTTATTTTTGCCTTACTGGTTTTCCATGTACAGGTCAACTGTGGAGTGTGTTTCACTTGGCTCGGATCCATCAACGTCAACGGACGTCCCACAGATTGAGGATGTTCGATGGATGATAAACAGGATATCGAACTGAGTCAAGTAGAAATCACGGATAAAATTTAATTAATATCGCAGTGGTTTAAAAACTCGAAAAAAGCCTTGCAAATGCTTGCCCAGATAATTAGTAATCTTACCTAATATTTTAAAATATTACCGATAAGAATAAATTGCAATATAAAATTTAATTAATATCGCAGTGGTTTAAAAACTCGAAAAAAGCCTTGCAAATGCTTGCCCAGATAATTAGTAATCTTACCTAATATTTTAAAATATTACCGATAAGAATAAATTGCAATATCTATTTGGAGTCCGAGTGGACTCTCGATTCACATTTTCGATTCAACGCCCGATCATAATTATCTCCAGTGTTAAATAAAAAGGTTAATTCACAGTAATTAAAATCACTTCTCTTTGAAGGCACACAGGTATGATAGTTTGGTTTAAGACTTTCAGACAAAGTAAAAATTTACAATTGTGGTAAGTAATTAAATTTGTTAACTGATTGGGTTGAGTGCCGTATAATACATTTAGTTTTAAACTTTTTTTGTGAGTGATTTATTGCTCTAAAGTGTTGACTACTCTTTGGGGTCGTATGGAAAGAATCTCGTGAAATTCACTGACTATAGGGTGACTTGGGCTCTGGTGATAGAATGGGCTCCATCTTGGTTTCTGGGTTCACCACATTGACTGGGTCCTTCAGTTGGGTGGCGGAAATGCTGAGGTCACTGGGGGACATAGGGGACATGGCGTAGACGGAGGCCCGCACGGATTCGGTGACTATGATCGGCAGGTAGATGAACAGTTCGACGTCTTCATTGACCCGAATGCGACTCGCGTCCATTGATCCCTGCCGGTGCTCGATCTCCATGGGCTCCTTGGGCTGCTGCGAGAAGCGGTGCCGGTAAAAGCTGGAATCCCGCCGTTCAGCCGGAATTATAGACTGCGTCCGGGACTTCGAATCCGCCATCATCAGTTGAGACTCATCTGCCAGCATGCTCTGCATGGGCGACAGAATCATGCTCTGACGCTTCTCGCGCACCAGTTCCCGCCAGTCCAGGGCCACCTGTTTTACAAAGGCGAAGTTGCTCTCGTCCGCCAAAGCCATGGTTACTTCTTGTGGTCTCATCGGTTGACTACAGATGGTCCACTGCCCCTCCTTTCTTTTGTCTACGCTTTCCACTGATTTTTAGAGCATTTTTTGTCGTCACTCTATTTTTTAGTTTTTTTTTGGACTAGGATAGACCATTTTTTAGAACTAGTGTAACGAAAAATTAAAAGGAAATGATATATTCGAAGCAAACTGAAGTAAAAATCAACGATTTTGATAAGGGTTTTTGATTTAATTTTCAAAGAATTTGCGTTTAAACGGTGGATTGTAATTTTGTTTTTTTTTTTTTATTTTAAATTTTTGTTTTTTTTTATGTAAAAATGGCTTTGTATAAAAAAACCCTACAACCAACACTTCTAATCCATAACTTTTTTCAAAGAAATTCGATACCTAAAAAGCACAATTTTAAAGATATGTGTGATTATTCTCTATTTTTCCAAAAATTGCATTTTTCCAGAAAAATAACCTAAAACCAACACTTTAAAGTTGTCCATTACTGTTTTTTAATAAATCCGATTTAAAAAAAAAACAGCTCTGAAGGTTTTGTGGCATAATTAATTAAGAATCAGCGTTTACGTGTTGGCTTGTAATTTCGGGTCGATTTTTGCACAGCTTTTCCGCTTATCTTTTTATAACCATTTTTTTCTTTGTTTTATTCTAGGTTGAACTCGAGCAGTATTCTTCGAAAACTAGCTTGCGGACTTGGAAATCGAAACAGTGTAGAGTGTAGATGCAGTTTAGATGCCAAGTTACGTGTATATTTAGAAAATAAAGTTTTCTAACAATGTTTTATTATTTAAAATTTGGTTAATTTGGGGTGCAGGTCAAAGTGTTTTATTTTGGGCTAAAATAATTTAAATTTTGTAGCATACTTTGGCGCTGTAGCTTCTGTTTTCGTACAGCGTACTTTTGGGAAGCAGTCGTTGTCAATGATTTTTTGTAGCATATTTTGCGCTGCTGAAACTATTTCTGGTAGATTCTGTTTTCGTACAGCATACTTTTGGGCATCAGGCGTTGCAAATAATTTTTTGTAGTATACTTTTGGGCAGACGATACTTGTAATTTAAGTCGTTGTTGTAATTTGTTGTTGTTGTAGTTTTGTTGTTGTAGTTTTGGTGTTGTTGTTGTAATTGCAACAACAACAAATTACAACAACATATTACAGCAACAACAAATTACAACAACAACAAATTACAACAACAAGAAATTACTACAACAAGAAATTACAACAACAACAAATTACAACAACAACAAATTACAACAACAACAAATTACAACAACAACAAATTACAACATCAAATTACAACAACAACGACCAGTGTCTCTCAAACTGTGCAGCCTCCCCCCAAAAGCATGCAATAACAAATTGACTGCTGCCGAAAAGTAGGCAACATATAAAATTGAAAGAGTGCCCTCAAACGGTGCAGCTCCCCCCAAAAGCACGCAATACAATGTTGTTTTCCGCCCAAAAGTATGCTACAGATAAAAATGAGGAACGAACGATTTTTTATTTATTCCTTTTCTTTATTGTTTTTGTGTACAAATGATGTTTTTTTTTGTTTTGTTCTTTTAATGCCAAGTGAAAGTTTTGAAAACGCACAAAATATATAAACCTTATAAGTAGATTACAATGATCATCTGCCAGGAGTGAGTAAATCATAAACTAAGTCTAGGAATTCCAAACACAAACCTAAGTGATAATTTCTAGTTTTTCTTTTTTTTCGAATTTTTCAGCTTGCAAAATAAGTTTAAGGTTTATCCTATTAATATAATAGACATAAAACGTATGATGTGTGTGGGGCTGAAGAGTCTTCGTCTTCGCGCACTGATTGTGTATAGTTGCGTTGCATATAAAAATATAAACTCTGATTTTCATTCGTTGCTGTAGCCAGCTCCATTGCTAGCTCCTCTACTGATGTTGGCTTTTAGCTTCTGTTTGCTTCGTTGCCTTGGATTGATACTCTCATTTGGAGTCACCATTGGATCCTTTGTCATCTGTTGATAGTTCCTTGTTCACAGTTCGCATTTGTAGGCACTTTAGTGTTTTTTAAACAAAAAAGTATACGAAACGCCACTGAATTGATCATTCTGTTTGTATAAATATGTACTGGGTAGGTCTGTGGGGGTGGGCTCCTCCCATTAGCTCCATAATGCGGCAGTTTTCAAGTGGCATGGGCATTGCCTTATTATTGCATTACCGCCTAAGTACATCCTCAATGTTCCATCGAACTGCAACCTAAACTCGTAGGAAATTAACCGAAATAACAAATATATCCTTAGTATAAATTGCGTTTCTTTCGCGCTCGCTACCTAAATTAGACGTATAAAATTGGGCGGCCTCTGCGTGTCGCACATTTCGGAGGCGGGGAGAACGCTCTGTTTCCTTATAAAACCTTGAGCGCGGTATACGCGCGCCAAAAGCGAGCTTTTAGTGGCTCTGCTTAAGTGGCGGGGTGTTGCGCTGGTTAACTCTAGTTACAGCTGTTAAATGCCTTAACATAACGTAACGGTAACCTACAACGATTGGCGGCCTGCTTAAGTAGTGGCTTTCTGTCCTCAGATCGGAGGTGGTCCGCGGATATAACGTAACTGGGGCGTAAAGCTCATGGACAGGTTGTTCAGATTGTCGCAGCAGTTGGGCTGCATCAGACAGGCGACGCAAAAGATGGTAAACAAGGCCACCTGCATGGGCACTGCCGCCCTGGCTATGCGCCACGCCCAACCGCGTTTGCTGGCCTGTGCGGGATCCGCTTCTTCGGCATCTTCCTCGGAGCTTTCCAAGTTGAAGAGCAGCGAGGGATCATCGGAGGGGTCGTCGCCACCGTCGCCACTGGCGAGGGTCTTAATATGCTTCAGCACCATATTCTGCTGCTCCGGACTGAGCTTCTCCTCATGCTGATCCTCGCCAGCGTTCTTGGTCTGGCGCGCTTTCCGCGCTCCCTTGCCGCGTTTACCAGGCGACTGCGGTTGACCGTTGGCCTTGCCAGCCTGCTTCTTCACTTGTCCATTGGCCTTGCGTGGCACTTGATGGCTCTGTTGCTGCTGCTTCTGCTGGTGGCTGGCTGCCGTGCGCACAATCAAGTCCCTGCAGGTGTTCTGCAGGTGCTTCAACTCGGCCTCGGCACTCTCCATGCGGGCGGCAATGGAACGCATTGCCTCGCTCCCCGGCGCCAAGGCCAGCTCCAACTGCTTGGCCAGGCGACGCAGCACACCCAATCGTCGCTCCCTCTCGGAGAGGCCACCATCGGAAGTGGCACCGCCATCGGAAATGCCAGAGTCCGAGAGCGAACCATTCGAGGCCGTAAACTTGGCAATGTGGTAGATGTGATTGGGGTCGAGGTGCTGCTGTACGGCCAGCAGTTGCTCCTGGCTCACATTAACCTTTTCGGAGAGCAGCTTAGCCACCAGCTTGACATTTTGGGCCAGCTCAACGGGCGTAGCCTGTCCCTTGTCCAGCGCTCCTTCAAGACCCTTCAGGGTGCCCCTATCCTGGCCCAAGGCCAAGTGGAACTCACTCAGGCCAGACTCGAGCTGTCGCCAGGCAATCAGCGAGTTGGTGAGCATCTCCAGTTGCGTGTTGATTCTGTGGGGCATAAAAGCCTGGGTTAGGAGATATACGGTTGGAGATTCTGGGGGTGTGGTAACTTACCTGGCATCTGCCTCATCCCAGGCGCTGTACATGTCGCTCACTTCGTTCTTAAGATGCTTGTGGAACTCCTGCTCCGCGGACATCAGCGAGTGGACATCCCAGGCAGCCGTGGAGGTGGAGGCTTCTCCAGTGGCCAGGGCTTCCACCTGATTGCCATTGCTGTCGGTGACGGTGATGGCCACAGCTCCGTTGGACTGCGCAGCCTTCTCCTCCAACGGCTTCTCCTGCTTAAGTTGTTCGGACTCCTGCTGCTGCTCCTGTTCCTCCAAGGCGTTCTGCAGACGCCGCTCCTGTCTGGTCAGCCAGCTGTGGACGGAGGCGTTGAGGCGCAGCATGTTGGTCCTGTAGCTGGCCAGTTGCGTCTGTTCCAGCTAAAGAGGTTGATGATTATGTGGTTTAGTAATGCGTTGAGAGGTTCCTTTAAATCATATACTAACCTTGAGGGCTTCCACGGCTATTTGAATGGCCGGCTCTGTGTCGAGGAGTTCCGGAGTGGGCTTGTCCCCCAGTCGCTGCAGTGCGCTCTTGAGCACGCTCATCTCCTGCTGCAACTTGCGGGCAGCCGAGGCATTCTCGCTCCAGCCCAGCAGGTCCTCCCAGGCGGCGAGCAGATCTGCGGAAAAAGATCAGAGGCGGGAAACGTGAGGATGTGGCTAGGTTAGGTAATGTGGTGGTACAAGGGCGGTGAATCGAGTTAAAAGAGTTAAATGGCGCACGAGAGAAAGGCAATTTAATTGGGCGCTGGCAATCTCATTTCCATTTAGAGTACACTTCCATTCCCGCTTCGGTGCGAGAGCCCTTGGTAATGAATACCTTTCTCTAAGCGCTGCAAAATTGCATCCGAAAGTGAAACTCTGGGCTGGCAAAAGGAAAATCAAAATCAACAAATATAAAAAGAAAAACATCTGTGGCCGCAGTAGTTAAAACTTTGCAATCGCTTTGCGGTTGTGGGAGCTAGAGACACAAAAGTTTCCTAATTGAAATTGTTTGGCTTGAATGGTTTGCACTGCATTGGTAGTTTCCCCCTTCGGCTAATGTATCCGCTCGCTTTGTAGCATGCTTGATTTGTGGGTTTGATTCTGCAACGAACGTTGGGCGGACCAGAACCAGAACCAAAAGTTCGGTGCCAGCCCTAAAGCGAACAAAAGAACACTTAGCAACGAGTATAAATATGTAAAATAAATATGAAGCCTTTAGTTGACTTTGAGATACCTATTACTGGTAGTGAAACTTATAACTTTTTGATTGAAATCAAATAAAACCATAAATATTTATGATCACTGCAAATAAATCAGCCAAGACTTCTTTAACTAAAATGTAATCTATTAATTCTTGAAATAATCACAATAATCAAGTCTAAAATAATAAGCTCAGATAAAATGTATACATTTGTTGAAATAATGAGAATCAACCAGTCTAATCGTTGTCGAAAGATTGCTTGATATAAACAATCGACTCACCCCAACTGAAGAATAACTCTTATGCAATTATGCTTTGTTGTAGGCTGCAGCAACTTTCTTGCTTTGTGATCTCCTAAACTCAAGTCAAAGTCAATCTGCAGCAAGTGCGTGCCACCCGGTTGGGTAATTGAAACGCAATGCGTAATGTAAGTTTTGCACAAATTGCTTTCACCTTGGGGATGGCCAAAAACGGTGTTTTTTCCCTGTTTTTTTTTCGATCCCAGCTGTGATAAAAGGCAGTGGAGGATAAAACGCACTCGCGGTAAAGGAAAACAACCCAACCGATCCGAACTTGTTGGCAGCCAAACCGAAACTGGTTGACTGAACTTCAGTGCAGCTGCAACGGAGCTCGAAGCTCGACTTGGATCCCCTTGGGTACCATCCAGTGGGCGGAGGATGGGGAATGTCCAACCCACAAGAGCAAGTCGAGCGCAACCAAAGCGATCGCAGTAGCAGAGCGAAAAGGTGAGTTTCGCAGAGGGTTTTCAGATGGGTTGTGAGCGCTCAGAGTAACTGACTAATATCTACACTGCCTAAAAATCTTTAAACAAAAATGAAAATTTGCTATTTAGTGTATTTTACTTTTCTTTTTGTGCAAAAAACAGTATTAAAAAAAAAAGTTTTAAATAAAGAAAAAAGACTTCAAAATAAGTTATTTTTTCCGCTTTTTTACAATCTCTGGGATTTTAGCAAACATATACTTCGGGAAAAAACATTTGCTATAATATAAATGTTTTCCATTAAATATAAGTAGTGATTTGTGCTTAAAAAATCTATAATCTCCCAAGATTACTATTTTTGTTCCCCGTTGGATTTGAATTAAAATACTTTTTTTCCCCAGTGCAGCTAAATCATACGCACTTTGGTTGTGTTGTGTTTTGTGTGCGTTACAAAATCTGGTTGGAAATCAGTCGTCGGGCAGATCAAACTCGTTGGAAGTGCAAGTTCGAGTTTAGAGTTGATGCCGCTTGTCGCAGATTACTTTGTATCGGATTTTGATTGGAGCTGGAGTTGGGGGTCGGACTCCACCTGCTTTCCGGCAGATATTGAATAATCTTCGATAGATGACTCCTCGACAACGGCAAAATGTGCAAAATAATTGCACATAAAATTGATTAGCCATTAACGCGGACTTAGCCGCGGAGGGAGATTATTGGCCCGCAAAAGACTTTCTCTTTGCGCTAGTCAAACTGCATGAATCGTTCAGATTTCAGCGGTGAGGAATAATTATAATTAAGCTTTAAGACAAGCCTACCCCAACTAATTAATTCGGCGCTGAAATATGTTTTCACCGCTTCATCATTTTTAAGCATCTTTACTGACATGCAAATTTGGCGGATTGCTGCTTTTTGTTTTATTTGCAATGCATATCGTCACGATAGATGAAATGCAAATAGCAGACGAAAAGTGTAAAAACCGCAAAGAGGGGAGAGCAGGGGTTTCGGCCAAGGTCGTTGACGTTGGCTGCAGTTGCTGGCCACAAAGTGAGAATAATTATTTTACGTGGGAGGTGCTTAGAGGTGTCGCCATCACAGAGAGAGACAGATAACTAATCGGACGATAAATAGTGCAGTTAAATAAAAATGAGCAATACATATCTGAGCTCATTTCCAAAGCAATTATAATATAAACTTAAATATATGACTTTAACAGAAAGAAAGCAAAGTAAGATTCAATAATAAGCAGACTACTTTAACTAACTTTTGGACATCAATAAACAGTTCTTTAGTTTCTACTTATTATTCCTTGACCCATTATTTAATTTAACCATTTAACAAATAAAAATAATGTCTAAAAACAAGCTGTAAAGGACTTATTGTTTAAATACTCTGTTTTGTAGCAAAAGGCAAATGGCTCACTCACTTCCTTAAAACCAAAAGCTATCCGAACCAAGTCTACCTCAGTTTAATTAAGTATTCCTTCCTTGATTTGCAGGGATACAGCCAAAGGAGTGGCGTGACAAAGGGCTATAAACAAGAACCCCTATTCTTGGAAAAGGGCGTGTTTTAGTTTCCTCAACAAATATAGATAGAATGTTTTATCCAAATTAAATGGAATAGCATATTTTTAAAGATAAAGCAAACATTGAGGTGAGGTAAGCAGAAACCACAGAAGCTACCGCCTAAATTATACCAAAAGCTAAAACGCATGGTCACTGCCTGACCTAAGGCAAAGCTCAAAATATTTGCCAAATTAATCTAAAATAATTATGGACAAACGTGTGTGTGTGTGTGTATGAGGCAACAGAGACAAACAATTAGCAAAATATATAGAAAGAACCACGTCGTTGGATATTTTTAAATGCTGATTAGAGAGCAGCAGAGAACCAAACAGAAATTATAATAGAGATGCGAAAAATGTGAATGGAAATGTATGGTGCGGGGTTTCTGCATGAATGAAGTAATAAATCTACCGATTCGGGCCGGAAATCTACAAGCGGAAATCGCTAAAGAAATGTAAATGGGATTGCAAATGCAAATGGCAATAGCTTGTTACTACTTTACTGCAGTTTAATGCCCTCCAGAGAAACGCATTGAACCACTTAAATTAACTGCCGCAACTAAAACAACTTTAGCTGCAAAATTGATTTCTCTAAACCTCGTTTCTAATTCTAATCAAGCGAAGGTCAACCACAAATGGGCCATGCGCTCCATAATTAATGATATATCGAATGACAATTGAGAACTTGAACTTGGGCAGCGTCGGCAGAAAAACAGAAAAAAGTTATGAGGTAATGGAGGCAACCGGTTCCGGCTTTCATCGCTCCTCGCTCCAAAACGAAAACAATCTTGGAAAACTTCAAAGGCGAATGCCACCATAAAACGTTGACTATAGGAGTGTTCACTGTTCTGCATTTACCGTTAATTAGCGGGTCGACGAGGGGCAGCCGAGCATGAAATGCACGGATGGTACAGTAAGCACCGGCTAACCCTAATTAGCGAGCCAAGTGTCTGACAGTAGCCACTTGCAACCCGATTTGGCAGCTTGAGGATCAAAGTCGGTCAATGGGTCTGGCAGAATCGAGTGGAAGAATCTGCCAGAGAACAACTTGAGTTTCTGTGGTTTATGTGAATTGCGGCAAGAATAGCGCAATTGCTAGCGGATCTGTCCGTTGGAGCAGATCATCAAGCACTCAAGTGCCGGATTTATGATCTGTAACATGGTTGTTTTTCGAGCTCTCAAAGACAGGAGTTTCCTAATGTGGCAACTGTTGCATGTGAATTGGTTTTATAGTATCAAGAGCTTTTGAGAGCAAATTGCCTAAACGAATATTGGGGACAACATATGAAAAATTATTCATCCAACATATAATTCTGAATTTTAAAACTGTCTAATTCAAGGTTATCTTAACACTTAACCAATTATTTGGTATTATCTTTTAACATTATTCTATATAAGCACTAAATTTAATCACCTAACTATTGAGCCACACCATGCCGTTTTGAAAATCCCTCTTAACTTATTATATTGGTAGTTATAAGACAAACATATTCTTTTTCAGATGGCATGTCTTTCTTTTCTACCTGTTGAAATCTATACGTTTTTTTTTGTTTACCTATTACTGTGCCTAAATTTCTCTAAATACCTACTGTATCTGTATTATCTCCCCTCATTTCATTAATTGCCTGCTGAGTCACCTACTTATTTAGCCTCACCATTACCTTCAAAACTCTTTTTTCTTATTTTCCCTTTGTGACTGAGACGGAATTTGCTCTGCTCGTTTTCACTCTTATCTTATTGTGCGATCTGTGTCTACATCTACATCGTTTACACCTGTTTCCCAATTATGTTTGCCCCACCATCACATCATCTTAGTACACATAACGGGCTATATCTCTTTCTGAAAGTGTGTTTGTTTGCTGGATGGCCAAAAGTGTTTACCTTGTTCCGATGACGACCGCGATGTGTTGGTGGAAGAAGAGGCCGAAAGCATTTCGGATATATCCGTTTGGACGGCCACGCTGACTTTCCCCATTGTAATTTTTGGAGTTTTCCCTGGCAACCCTCGGCGGGAAAAGCTCTCTTCAACCCCCAAGTGACCCACTTTCGTTCGCTGCGCCACTTGAAATCAATTTTCGTAATCAATTTGTGTTTTAAAGCATTTCAATTCCGTTTTTTCAATCACACACAACACCAAACTGTGGGAATGGGTATTTTCCCTTCGATTTAAGCAATACTGCATTGAAATAAGTTTTAGTTGGGAAAACTACCGTAATTTTTGCGAAACTCTTATAACCGAAAGGAACTCTTATACGAAAGGCGATGAAAACGTACGCGATTTTGGTTTTTATGAATGGCAACTTCTCAGTTGGAATTTTGATGGGCTTTAGTAACTTTAGAGAGCTTAGTTATGTATGTTTTTATCACAGCTATTTTTTGGAGGAATTATGCGAGATTCTCGTTAGATTATTTCACACAATTTCGCGGAAGCACGTTAAAAATTAATTATAGACGGGGGAAACAGAGAACAACCGCTTGGAACGCGCGCAGAAAATGAACTGAGAGATGTGGAGAGACGAGCCGAAAGGCAGAGACAGCTGAGAGCTGAGAAAAAAGGGGAGCAAATGCGAGAAACGGAGAGCCAGAGGGCAAAAGCAACGTGCTTGCCAGCACAGTTACACTAAGTTATGCCCCTAGGTCTTATTTGTTTTTAAAGCAGCAACTCTTACACTGAGCAAATTAAAGTTTAAGTTTAAATCAGTTTTCTTTTTTTTTTTAAATTTTTAGTGCCATAAAATGGCTTTGTACTGGTATTTAGTTTTTAATTTTAAAAACAAAGGTTTTCATATTATGGATTTTTAAAATAAAGTGAGACTATTATTGTTCAAAGTTTCAATTGTGAGATACAACCAATTTTAATATCAAATATTTTTTAATATTTATTATCTTGTTAATAGTAATATTTATTTGAACAGTGTAAAACACCGAGAGTATCTAACATGCAAACATCCCAAAGAGCGTAACTCTGGGAACTGAGAACTTTTGAACTTGGCTTTGTCACACGCAATCTCTAAAAACACCGTACCATATTTGTATTCATATGTATGTATGTTTATATGTATGAAGGTTTGATTTAAGGGCGCGCTTATTAGATTCGGCAGCTCAAGCGGCAACAAAGGCCAAACAGAAACAAAAACCATTGGTATCAGTTTGTGTTTCAAAAGGCGACGTCATTTTTTTTCTACCGCATTACCAACAAAAAATTCAGAAACCAGACAACAAAAGCTATAGAAGTGGTGACGGCAGACCAAAAAGCAAAGCGCTACCTATCGAATTCTGAATGAGCGCCACAGTAAAGCTGCAGTTTTACAAGTATTGTGACAAATAAAACCAACTAAGAGGTTTGACTTTGCAGCACAATTATTAAAAACAATGTTTCTACATTTCTTCAAATTTATATAGTCCACCCTCGCACATAAATTAATTTTCCACCAAGTCATCACATTTGTTTATAAATTTATACTGCGGGCGTGTGACGTCAGCGGGCGAAAATAAATTTGCTTTTGCTGAGGGTCAGAATAAAGCAGCTGGTGGAAAAATAGCTATATCCCTAAAAGCGAATTAAGCAGATTTATGGATATTCAGAAACAACTACAAAGAATTTGGAAACGTTTAAATAAATACAAAATGTTTACCTCCATCAAGAGGCTATTACAGTTTTAGAGGTTCGGTGCTTCAAAACTTTAGCACGGGCGCAAACCACTTTCTTTATATTGGGCACAATTAATGTAGTACTTTCAGTACTACTTAATTCTGATTTCTCATATGAGCTGTCATTTTCTATTTTCGCTTCAATGGGTTAAAGTGCTAAATAGACAACTATTAAGGTTATAAAATACGAATAACTCGTTTGAAAAATCAGACTCCCTACACTGGCCTTTATGGAATATAAAAAAAACAAGGGTTTGCGTCAAAAATATTGAAGATTGCCTTCATCCTCATAAGAGTTAAATGTGAATTAGATATTAACCGACTGAATAATTACGGATCAGTCGACATACAAGTTTTAGCTGTTTTAAAAGTGTCAATAAAATTCTTAGACTAAACTTATAATCTATTGTAATCTCAAGACCTCTTTGAGATCAACTGAGACTTGTGCAAACCATTACCGCTTCGGGAACGGGATCGATATTAGTGCTAGGCTACACGATGATCTCAAATACTAAACTCAAAGCAATATAAACACGGCAGTTAATGGATGATTGTTAAATTAATTTGTTAATACATTTGACAAACACACAAGCATTAACGGCATTACGTGGAGTTAACAGAACAGATGACAGAATGACAGAACACCAAAATAAAACTAAATTAGGGATATAGTTCACAAGACAAACGGATACAAACGCAAGTTGAGAATTATAACAGTTTTAGTTCTGCTTCTGGTGTGTAGATTTTATTGCCAAAAAAATAAAGAACAAATGCGCAAGAGCGAAAAAATGGATAGAACAAGTAAAATAAAATTATTTAAAATAATAATAAAATTGAACAGAAAGTGAAAAAGTGTTGAGGATAAATAATAAGTAAATTCGATGCGAAATGCGTTTTGTCAAATGCAAAAACAAACTTCCTACAAATCATACATCATATGCACTATCGTATACAGTGTGTTTAAAGATCTAATTTGCACAGCGATCAAAGGCATCCGGATAATACATGCTTTAAGCTTCTTTTTGTTTTATTTAAATTACAACAATCCCCGGAAGCCGCTGAAGAACCTTCCGAGGCGTCCGCCCAACGGCCGGTTCACCAGCTCGTAGAGCGACCTCAGCGTTCCCGCCAGGAAGCGATAGAGCGCAAAGTGCTCCAGCATATTGCCGACGTCCAGCACGAATTCGATCACCCGTGCCACGAAGCGCGTAATGGGTGCACACTGGCACTCGGCCACTTGCATCAGCTGCCGCGGGGAATCCCCCGAGCGCGATCCCGATTCCGCCGGCATGATAGCCAGTGGAGGCTCAGTAGTCTCTGTAGGAAGCCGCCTCCTTCGCCGGCGGAGACCGGTTGATACGGATGATGATGATGGAGGTGGTGGAGGCTGGAACTCACCTTTTGTCTGGCCAGCGCAGTGGGTGGACAACACAGTGCCGGGTGGACCGCGCAGCACGGCCTCCAGGCAGCGTATATTGTCGCGGCAAGTGTTGATGATCTCGTTCTGGTTGGGCATTAAAATTTAAATAAAGTTAGTAGGGATTCCCGCAATCATCTTCAATTAAACTCACATAATCCTCTGGTCTGAGCAGATGGCATCTGATCTTCAGGGCTCTGGTGTCGTCCAGCCTGTCGCGGCTTTGCTGCAGCAGAGATCGCATCTCTTGCTCTCCGTCCTCGGAGTCCGATCCACTGGACGATGAAGTGGTGGCTGGAATCAGCTTGATACATTTCTCCAAGTTGCGGGAGGAGCGTCTCCTCTCGTCCGCCGTCACAGTACGTCGCCTCCTGGTCGAAGTGTCGCTCTCGGAGGTGCGACGCAGCAGGGACTGAGCCGAGTGGCTCATTCCACCAAACTCTAGCTTCCGGCCCACGGAGTCGGTGCGTTGGCCAAGCTGCTGCTGGCTGGTGGACTGGTTCTTGGGCGTGGTCATTAAGGCGGTGGCGGAGGCAGACAGCGAAGGCTGGGCCTGCAATTGCGGCTGAGTCTGCTGCTCCTTCAGGGGGTTGGCAACTATCGGGATTTCATCCATATCTGGGTGTGCAAAATATATATAAAATAAATATATCCTATTAGTTATATGGAGTTGAGTCAGTGTTGGAAAGTATCTAAATACTTAAGCCTAGTTATATACTCGACAACAAAGGAAATATATGGCTACCGTTTGTTTCTTTTCAAATGTTTCCCTAATCAGACATACGCCAGTGCGTATATTAAATAGCATAATTAAACTGCAACGTTTAAACATTTAATTTAAAAATGTTTAGTACCTTTTTTGCACATCTAAAAACTATTTCTTTTTTTGCCTTGGACAGCTAATTATTTGGCCTTCTAGTGAACTACTTAAAAATCAATGTACCTTGTATCTTGCCTTGGTACTTATTTTCGCAAGCTCTTTGTACTTTAACTAGCCCAAAAAAACTAGTTCGTTTCCAAGACTGGTAATAATACCCACCTTGGCAGGATTTGCGTCTAACTTCCAGGGTCTTGCGACGGCGTTCGTACTGCAGCTCCAATGCGCGCTGGCGGCGGGCGTGGTCCACGCTACTGGTAATTGTGTCCTGGTTGATGTGGAGTGTCTTCAGCTCGTGCTTCTGCAGTGAATCCATGCGCGGCGGCGAAAACGAATCCAGATTGTTGGCCGCCGACAGGGAACTGCAGCAATCCGACTGCGAGTCGATGTAATTGCTGTAGCGAAATGGGCATTTGATTTTGAGCGGTTATAAATAACTCTTGGCACGGCCGCAAAGGTCGCCTTCATAATTTTGATTTTCCAACAACACTCACCGATAGTCGTCGCCGAATTCTAAGAGACGCCGGGCCGCATCCGAATCGAAGCCCTCGGAATAGTTCTCTGAGTTGTATTTCTCTTGGTAATTATCCCAGGCCGTCTCCGAAATACTGCTGTGATGGTCCTCGGTGCTGAGTTCTGTGGGAAATAAAGCATGTTAATTAATAAATTTGATATGGAAGGGGAAGAGGGAAAGATTTGAGGATATATAACAAAGAATTTGGTACCCATTTTAGTTTTTAATGGTAAGTGCCATGATTTAAAGTCCCTAACAAAAAAAATGTAATTTAGTATTAAGTTACGAATTAGGAAAATTAGGAAACATCAATTTAATGTTTATAATCACTTAGTTTTTATATATTTTTTCCCAGTATAAAAATAGAGAGAAATAAATAAAATACTGACAAAAGAAAGATGGACATAATCATTTTAATAGGAGCAGAATGGATAGATTTCAGTGGGGACTGGTGCACTTGCGCAATACCTTTGAGCCTGGTCTGAACCGGCTTGGGTGCTTGTGTGAGAGAAACAGATGAATAGAAAACACATATAGAGTAGGCCTAACTCTATGAAATCCGCTGAAGGACCTCCATCACTTACCTGCTTGCTGTTCGTCCTCGTTCATGTAGTTGGACAGAGCTGCGAGGGCGCCCAATCTCGTTTCGCTGGCCAATAGACCTGCCGTGGTGAAGGATCCCACCCGGAATTTGGGTAGCATCAGCTGCTGGGTTTCCCCTGCTGCCTCGCCTTCGGCCAGCAGAGTGACTCCCGCTAAGACGTCTCCCTTGGGACTCAAAGGGGCAATGACTGCTCCCTTTTGTATGCTCAGTAGGGCATTGGTGAACTCCTGCAACTGCTGCGACGACATGGACTCGCAGGACTTCATCAACGTCTGGGTGAGATCTCCACCCAGCTCGGAACCCGAATCCGATTTCCTGCCAGCCGAGGCGGCCGAAATGCGCTTCTTGCGGGCCTTCCTCCGCCGCAGCGATCCCTTGCTGTCCGCCTTCCTGGCCGCATTACTTCCCGTTCCCGAGGAAGAAGCAGCCCGCGGTCTGGGTCCCGGCGAAAGCGAATCCAGAGCACTTTCGCTGATTGAATGACTGGCCAGTCCCGGTGGCGAGTTCTCCACAATCCTGTGGGCCGTGCTCAACTGGGCCGCATCCGTGGTCAACTGGGACAGGCACGACACGGACCAAGGTCTCTCCGATTTGCGACGCGTCTGCGGTCGCTTCACAATCTTCACGTTCAGGCTCTGATTGCTGCTGCCAAAGCCCAAAGGCGTCACAGGCTGGCCAATGGGCTCTGCCGACCCACCGATTCGCTCCGTTGAATTCCCATAGGAATTCGTGCTCGTTTGCATACAGGTGGCAATGGAATCGGTGAATCCCTCCGAGGTGTCCGATCCCGCACCGTTGGCTGCTCCTCCTCCCGTTACTCCAAGTCCAACTCCAGCCTGAGGCACTGAATCCGTTTCAGATGCCTCTCCGGATGCCTCGCAATCGTCGGGCTTGCAGCCTGGCAGGAGTTCATGCGTTTGGCTGCGGGTCAGCAGCTGTGGCGTCGAGGGCTGGAGCTCCAGCCACTCCTAAAAAAGAATAAAACAAATTGTATAGGTTACAAAATTATGCAAATTAAGAACGAAAAAAGTTAATTTATTTTTTAAACAGTGTACCAACCACATTAAAAAAAATTTGTTGTTTTTCTACAATTGGAACCTTTTAAGTCACCAGACAGACCTAAGCAAATCAGTTTACTGTTATTAAATCTAAATGAAGCAACATTTTAACAGTGTTATTTAACTGGACTTAGCTGTCCGGTGATTATTAAATTTGAGGGAGCAGTTAGATGGTATAAATGTTTAAATGTTTAAACCACTATAATTTTTTCTCAAAGATATCATATTTCATTAGATATATTCACTGTTATTAATACCCTCATAAAGAGTTTTTTTCGGTATTTTAAAAGGACTTACCTCGACACGCTGCTTGCTGGGATGCGACATGGTGACCTCGCGTTTCTTGACCGTCGACGAGATCTTAATGATGGAATGTTTCTGCTTGGTTGGCGTCTTCAGTGCGGCCTCTTGGGCGTCGCGCACCAAATGCTCGGCTTCCAGCACCAACTGCTTGATTGAATCATGCGAGACCTTGCCCTGGAGAAAGAGAGAGAGAAAAGCAGCGGAGAATGTGAGAAACGAGTGAGGGAAATTTGTTTAGAGAGCGGAAATTAATGAGCGTGCCCAATCGGAGTTGCAAGCCTCAGGCGGCTGAATCAGTGAAGTCATAAAGCTGACTAACTACAGTCCAAATTGCCTACAAACAAAACATCCTGTTTATACAGTATACAGTAATGTAAAGTATTGGGATATAGTTCCAAAGTTTTGGTAAAATTTAAGGTTAGCAGGCAAACTTTACTGTCCAAAAAAGCTGTTTATTTAAATTAAAATATAATATTTATTAAAGTTTAGTCGAATTTCGAAAGCTCCACAGTAAAAGCAACCAAATAGGAAATGCAGCGCAGAGTGTCCAAATCTTATCGGCAAAGAGGAAAAAACTGCGTTTAGCTGTGGAAGTAGTGGAAGTGTTTTTTCCTTATCTCTGAGAACTCATTCTCCCACCCGCTTATCGCTATTTGTCACCCATTTTCAGTGCACTTCAACGTCATTATAGTCGAGTGGAGTGAAATGAATTGGAGTGAAGTGGAGTGCAGCGGGTGGGGTAGCAAAGTAGGGTCTTAAATTTACAATATATAAACATGCCTATACACTTTTGTTCTTATCTAGTTCTGTTTATTTCGCAGCCTTCCTCCTACACCTCACCATTACTTTTTTGCACAACTCATTACTCAAGTAAGTGGGTTGCTCACAGGGGAATTTTTATATATATGAGCCGTTTGGTATGACAGAAGAAATTATTTTTGTACAGCCTTAGCTTTGTGTACATATGTTATGCAGAATCTTAGTTGAGTAACTGCAACTATAAACAAGAGTTTGCCTCACAAATTAGTCGTAAAAACACAGAAGTTCTTAAACTATCAAGGTAAACTAACTGTATAAAATGTATAGATTCTTGACTTTTCATCTTATTTACAAAAAAGGGTTGAGACTTCCCAAAATGGGAACTCCCACCTTCGCAGACCATTTGATAATACGACAAAATCAGCTTTTGGTTGTTTTACATAATTCCTTGTTGACACAAAAGCAAATCACTGAAGCATAGCTAATTATTCCAATGCAATTACGAAATCTTTTTTGTTTTTTGGGACTTATTTAGTTTTTCTCGGGGCAATTGAACAATCTGAAGGTTTTGTTTTTAACGCGCTTCGGCAGACTTCGCGCACTGTTTTGTATCTTATGGCTCTTCTCACTGCTGTATCTTTATCGCAGCTCAAGTCCAAATACTCACTCTCGTTAATCTTTGGCTTAATTTAATTAACAACTTCCTGCGGTGAGTGAGGCACGCGATTGCGGCCATTTTGAGAGGGACTGCTGCCAAACGGAAACCATTTTCTAATGCCAAGTGAAAACGGCGTTTACGTTCACGGTTTGCAGCTTACAACTGTCCAACTTACAGTTACAGCTAGTTGCCCAGTGAGCGCGAAAAAAAAGCGATTGGGCGTTTGCGATAATTAAAGGCAATTATTAATGCGAGTGCGGACGCCGGCCTGCCAATTAAGCCCAAAACTGGAAAGCCCGAGCTTCAGATACAGATACGGATTCAACTTCAACTTCAGCTCCTTGGCAGCAGTGCCTCTTAGACTGTCGTCGCAGTGGCTCTATCTTTTTCTGGCCTTGACAGTTGTCGATTTGGTTTTCTTGTTTTTATTTATATTTTTACCCGCACGCAACGTGTTTTTTGTTTTGGCCCAAAATCTAATCGCGTTTTTTTTTTTTTTTGAAAATTGAGGTCAGTTAAATGCTTACAGTTTAAGGGGAACTTTGACGGTAAATGTTACTTGGTTACTTATTTTATTTCTAAAGTTTTTAAATATTTTATTTCACTAAATTACAATTAAAGGTTTCAATGAGTTGATTTGCATAAGTGCAAAATTAATGATGGGTTTGTATTCGAATTTTTAGCACTACAGTTTTACATCCACTGAGCGGGAGTGGTAGCAGAGATCACTGCAATTCACTGTTTTAATGAGTTTAACTATTGTGTTTACCGTTTGTTTTATTTCTTTTAAAATTGAATGCTGGTTTTTGTGTTTCTCGTTGTGTTTTTCATTTATTTAATGCAAATTTCGCAAGCAAAATAAACACATTTCGAAGCTGTTGTTGCTCTGGGCTCTTCTATTGTTGTTTTAGCAATTGTTTGTTTGTTGGCTTTTTATTTTTTTTTTGCTATTATCTTGGGTAGTCCGCTCCCCGATTTTCGTCCGTCCGTCGGCTTCAACGTTGCGAATCACACTGAGGCTAATGCTCTGCCGCAGTCTCTGTATCAGTCTGGAGTGCACTCACACTCGCACCTAAGCGTACATATAGTGTGTGTAGATGGCTCCGCGAATTAAAATAAACTGTCGATTCGAAATGCGTTTGATAATAGCCACTTGATAAGATAATACTCCAAAATCGATTTGAAATAAAAATCTGCAAAAGGAGCAGGCATTGCCAGCTAGATAGGAAGCTCCAAATACATGATTTATTTTTTGTCTACCTCAGTTTTCCATTCGCATTATACTTTTATTATTTGCTCAATTTGTGTTATTATCATTCGTATCTTTGCTTAACACTTTAATTTAGGAGTGAATACAAATCATTTCTGGGACATCGATAAGATAACTGAAATGTCAGTTGGGTAACGAGATAATTTTCTATATTATAAGCTTTTCTATATTGTGGTTGTTTGATTAATGTTATTTCCCTTTTTAATACTTTTTTCAGATTAGGTTTCCTTCTTAGGAAGGAAATCGATATGTGTTTGCTCTGAAAGAAAGTTCTGAAATATATCTAAGCAAACAATATGTTTGAGATATTAGTTGCTTTAAGTTGCCTTTTTATGTTCATTCATTTTATTTTACTTATCAACAAGATAAGTGCACTTGTCAATCTCTTTTATAGGCTAGTGATTTATTTATTGAGGTTTGGCTCAACGTCACTTTTCTGCTTTTTAAATACCACTTATTTAAATGCTGTCTTTGTCCATCAGTTTGCAAACTTTAATCTGCCATTCCATACAAATCATGTGTGTGTCCAATCGATAAGATAATTATTTCACCTAGCTGTGATTTTTTTATACGATTTATTTCTGCTTTGACCAACGTCTCCGGATTTCGTTATCTTAAAATCAGTTTTGGTTGCGTCGACTTGATGTATGGGTTCCGCTCTTTTTTTGGGGGTTCGGGATCAGGTTCAAGTTCGAGATCGGGTTGCGAAAATGCAAAATTTGTCAAAATTTATCAAAGCTGCACAAGATTTCACTCTCAATAAATCAACGCACTGCGCATGCGTGGCAGAGGCCGAGGGAAATAAGGGGAGAAACGAGTGCCCTCGCTGGAAAATGGCAGTGGAAATTGCGTGCGACAACTGCAAAATGCAAATGGGACTGCGAAAATGCTAAAACATGCTCATGCTGACCAGGGAAAAGTGAGAGTGAGTGTTGACTGCCAAACACGTTGGCTATTCCGAAACCTCAGGGACGACGACATTGATAGGCGGCGGCAAATGATGGGAGCACCTCGTCGGCGGGAGATATGGTACACTCCACCTCTTGATCTCCGTTGGGTTTCCCACACCTCCGCACAAAACCCATCGTCGCAGCTCACATTACACTCCATTACGCTTAGCAAGTTGTCAGCTTCGCATGTTTTACCACTGCTTTTACACGCACAAAAAGTGACCACAAAAAATCAGATGAGAGAAATTTGAAACGACGCACGCAAACAGCTAAATCACATCAAGAGGAGGGGATCGCAGCGCAATTGGACCACCGACATCGATCGATTTGTTAGGCCAACGATCGATGGATCAACCCATAATCGATCATGTGCGATAGCTGGCAGAGAACGGTGAATGAAAGTGAGGTAGAAAAAATATATATATATAATCTAGAACACTCACTAATTGGTTTACGTCTTATGGAGAGAAAGTTTGCCGAACTTTCTCATGAACTTTTATGCTTTCTATAAATTAAAAGGTTTTCTAAACTCTAGATATAAATATCAACTTTGTGACTCTAAAATTGTTTACGTTACTAGACATTTAAGACAAATAAAATAATGCCAGTCATTAATCATAATCAGCTAGCGAGAAACCGCACTCCCATGTTAATGTCTCAATCTCATTAGCAGGAAGTGTAACTTCCTTCTCCCATCATATCAATATTTTATTTTTTTATGGCGTACCTTGGCTGGCGAAGCGAGCATCATTGATGCGGACATGGTGGCGTTGCTGCTGCTGGCCTGGGATTTGGTGGACTTGGCCGGGGATCTTGGTGGCAAGTGGCAACTGGTCACGGTTTCTGCTGGCCACACGCTGATGTTGCAGATGTCCGCGCGGCTGTAAAAACTGTTATTCATCTGTAGGAGGAGGGAAATCCAATTTTCAATTAAACAATATTACCAGAAATAGAAGAAGACCATTTTTAAGCTTATATTGATAAAGTATATGTTAATCCCAACAATTCTTTTTACTGGCACAAATGGTCCAAAACCCTAACCTCAGATTAACAGCAGTCTATTGACAAGTTAAATAGTTTATAGCTAATAATTTTCATGTAAGTAAATCCAATTTTACTATATCTAATCAATGATCCAAGCTCTACCCTGAAACAAACAGCTGTCTATTTACGGGCTGTAAAGCTTCTCCACCATTTTTTTCATTTATTTAATTAAAACACATAAAAATTGTTAGTGTTAAGCCCTTACAATTTTATTTACTACTACTATTATTTCAACCTGCGCTGTATGTCTTTTACCCAGGCTGTCCCTTTCAATTGTTTCGTTTTATTCCGCCTCACGTCGGCCTGGGCTTCTTTTCATTTGCCTTCAATGAAGAAATAAATCACACGTTTCCCAGTTAATTTCGTACTTTCCCATTTTTGACGTGCTCCGCTCAATTTCCCGAGCGGCGGCGATCGTTTTTCCTGGACCACGACATCATGCCATGTCGGTAGTCATCGATCGAGGTTTTCAGTTTGCTCTGTCTGGCGTTTGGCGTTTGGAACGGCAGGAGTAGTCTAGTCGGTGCATGATTCGCTTTCATTAACCCAACTGCTTAATCATCCGCTGAGGTTTTCCATTTATTGAAAATGCCTTGCACCCAGTTTCCCAGTTTCCTATACCCAAACCCAAACCCGATCCCAGCCCAATCCCTCTTCCTTTTGCCCACTTTTGCCCCTTGGAGTGGCGGCAAACAAAACTCTTTTATTGACACAAGTCACAGACATGGTCACTAGACTTGAGCACTTGACACTTGACTGACTGTGGGAACTTTTCCAATAGTCGAGAGGCGAGGACTGATTCGAACCGATGCGGACCGACTATAAGATCGGACTTTATTTCTGGTGCTCTACAAATGGCGGCAATGTCAAGTGGATCTGACGGTGAAGGTTCTCAAAGAGGGATGCCCTTCGCTGAGAGATTATATTAGTTTGTGTGGCTATTTAGCAATTTAGTTTTATTAGAGATTGATATTGAATTTAATTTCAGTGTGTAGAAATCATTTTAGTAAATATTTTGTTTAATAATAAGCTTAATTAAATAAGCTTTTATTTGCAATACATAGTTATTTAAAAGCTTTAATTAGAGAAATAATTTGTGTATGCTCCTATTCTGAATGCACAATATGTACATTTTATTTCTCCCAAAATATTATTATATTGTTCAATATCAAATCAAAGAGTGTGACTATTTAGAAATTAATTTCGAGCTATTGTATAGCTGGTTCACTTTCTTGGGTTTTTCTTTATAAGAAATACCTTCTTTTAAAAATTTCTTTTTACTCCTTAATTCCAAATCAATAATATTAACTTTTTACTTCTTCCTAACAATTCAATCAGAACCTGTCATCTTTACGATTAAACCCAATTCAGGTCTTCCAAAAACATCTACTCACCTGCTGAGATATGCTGGCGTTTCCATTTGCCAAATCAGCAGTTGTCTCATCGACGCCCAACTTGATTTTGGCCAAATGATCATCGGCTGCCTCGCCCTCGTTGTTGTTTTGCTGCTGATGTTGTAGACTGCTGTAGCAATTGTTGTTGCTAATGACGTGTCTGCCATCGCTGGCACTGCCATTGGTTTGGAACTCCATCTGCATCTGCATTTGCATTTGCGACTGCGAGTGGATCTGCATCTGTAGTTGGGTGACTCGCGAGGTGGCCGAGGTCTCTGTGTGCCTGCCGTTGGAGTTTGAGTTTGAGTTCGAGGAGGAGCAGGCGCTGCTGCTGTCGTAGTTGCTGCTGTTGTGCGAGGCTGCTATTGCAACAGTTGTTGCTGCTGCTGCCGTAATTGTCGTGGTGCTGACCACCAGAGCCTCCTTGTTCTCCTTATCGGAGTCGTCGCTGGGCGGGAGTTGTCCACCCAAAGATGATGATGCCGTGGTCGAGGAAATGGCCGTGGACTGCAGACCATCCACAATCGATGTTGCTGCGGCACTTGATGTTGCAGTTGCTGTTGTGGCAACTTCCAATGTTGTTGCTGCTGCTGCTGCTGTCGCCGTGTAGAGCCAACCTTCGTCGTCGTCATCCGTTGAGGCATCAGCCGATTTCAGTATCTATATGGCAGGAAAGTGGATGGCAAGGCGGATGGGAAAGGGAAGGAAAAACGCAATGGAACATTAAAATCAGTGGTAACAAAATTCGACAAAGGAAGAGAAACCGACGGTGAAGATGAAGTGGTAGAAAATGAAGTTTAATTAGCGTTACTTGCGCAAAATGGCAAATTGTTGTGCCGCTGCACTGGCAACTTGCAACGCGATGTTGCTGCTGCTTCTGCTGCTGCAGTACATGAGCAACATCTTTGAAGCTTCTTTTGGTTGCCGACAATACAACGCCTTCTCTCTGACGACTTTTCTGACTTTTCGAACTCCACTCTGACTTGTCTGCTTTGTCTTTGTGCTGGCAATTTATTTCCATTTCGAATGGTGACGACCTCAGCAGTTGTCAAATGTGGGAGGAAGACTGAAGAATTGACAGCGGAGTGCTGAAGAATTGAGGGAGGCGGAGTAAAGAGAAGTCTCAGACAGACAAACAAACAAATTAAGTCTGAATGCTAGAAGGAATCTTCTGTCTTTAAAAATTAACTTTTACTCTAAAAAGCTGAATGTATCCAAAAAAAAAACTATTTTTTAACATTCGATTTCCAGGCTTGTTTAGCTTTCTTTAAACAATTTAGCTTAAAAGGCTAAAAAAAGCATTGTTTCCAAACTTTGCCCTCAAAAGAGCTTTATTTTTGTTTTCATCTTTGAAGTATCTGATAGACATACTTCTTTTGTGTTAGATGATTAATGATCAAGTAGCTGATAGCGTTGGATTAGTTGATGATTAAGACTACCGAATAATGGAATACAAAAGTTAGTTAATAAATCGTTAGGCATGCCAAACTATTAATATTTTATTCATATATAGTACGTTAGGTTACAGACATCAAAAATAGCGAGCTATCGATGCATGCAAATTAGTTGGGCAGAGGTGGGCACCAGAAGACGATACCCTCGTCCATTGATGAACGTGACCCCAACACCTCGGCGAGTGGAACGAATGCCACCGATAATGATGATCCGCTGATAAGTCTGACCCGTAACCGAGAGGAAAGCCCACAGAGATCGCCTAGATCCGCCACCCGAAAACGGTACTTACGTCGCCTCCAGCTCCGACGGTGGGTCTTCGCCGGTGGATCAGGCACGGAGGATCATCCTCGCTCTGGAGATCACTGCCCGCCGTCCCCGTTCCCGTATTCCCCTGCTCGTTGTCCGTGTCCAGGTGCTTGAAGTAGAAGATCGCACAGTTCTTCGACTTGCGATTGGAGCGGTTGAACTTGGAGGTGTCATTGTGGTGATGACGCGTCGTCTTTCGCATTCCCAGCGGCGACTTGTTCAATGGGTCGTGACCGAGTCCGTGACTTAGCCCGTGACCGTGACTGGTATTCCCATGCGAATTGGGTGTGATTACCGCCACGGCTATGTTTTTGTTATGCGCTTTATTCGGCAGCATATTGTGATGACGCTGTTGCAGCAACGAGTTGCTGCCGTTGATATTGCGATTGCTGCCCTGTGGCATCTCTATGAGATTTAGGACCCTTCGGGTGCTTCCCACTACCACTGGTAATCCTCTCCTGCTCAGCTGCTGCACTTGCTCGAAATCACTGCTCTCCGAGTCCGCCTCGAAATCGGTTAAGGTGGCTGCCCCACTGGGATTCGGGTGGTTCGCCTGTCTCCACGATCGCTTGGCAATCAGGAAGTCCACCACATCGGTGCCCAGTTCCGGATCCTCGTCCTCCTCCTCTAGCTCCTCATCAGCCTCATCGCCGGGCTGAATGCAAGTCAAGTTTTGGTATGGAGTATTGGATAAGTGTTAAGTGGGTTGACACAAAGTGGAAAGTGGGTCAGGTTGTCATGGGAATCACACACTGATAAGAAAAAGCACATGCTCTGCACTTAAAGTAGTGCCAACTAGGGTTTGGTTGGAATGTCTGTCTTGGAAGAGGAGTTGGGATGGCCAAAAATATGTGATTTGGGATGTGCAAAGGATATGTGACTATAGTTTTCCGGTAATGAGAAATACCTTATAATACTAGTGTCGTATTACTTTTTCGATAAAGCAACTTATCTCTTTTGACATGGAAATTTCATTATTATTTTTGAGGACATCTTTGATTTTCCAAAATTTAAGATAAAAGTTGTATGAACAGACTTAACTTGCGCTAACAAGTCTTTTCTAAAAGCCAATATGTATTCTCTTAAACTGCGGGATATCTTTCTGTCCAAAAAATAAATGTGCATTTTTGTCTCTACTGGTTTTTGATGATGCCCAAAAATATCCCCGAGATGACCAGATCATTTGCTAAGTATTCTGTTTTTCCTTTTATGGTTCGGTGTTCTTGGATAACGTTTCTTTTTCGGGTTAGGTTCATTTGGGGTTTTTGGTTAGCTCGAGCAGCTGGGGTTAGGATAGGTCAGGCTCAGAATGTTGACAATACTGTGGAAGGCGGGGGCATGCAACTAAACTAACAACAACAACAAAAACGACAAGTCAAACAGTAACTACATACAGAATATGCAAATCATTCATCAGACGAAAGGGGGAATGACTTACCTTTTGAGGTGCAAGACAATCGCGTGGCTGATCCGCTGGCAGAGACTCCGCTTGGGATGCGATTTGCTGGGATTGCGACTGCAAATGCGAATGGGAATGGGACTCATCCAGGCCACAGACAATCTGGGTGGCTGTAATCTGGCAGCGCTGGAGGATTAGTTCCGCGGGGGTGGCCGCTTTGGAATCACTGTTCTCCAGATCCAGATCCGAGTTGACCTCGTTCAGATCGTCCTCGGTGGCTTCACCCTCGTAGCCAAAGGAGTCGTCTTCGGTGTCTTCCTCCTCGTCCACATCCAAACCATTCTGCAAGAAATGAGGCAAAATAAATCTAAGATTAATCAGGTTTCCTTTGGGGGTATTTTTTAGTTCAATAAAGTTGTGAATATGAGCCACAATTTTTAATTGGACAACTCGTGTGATCTTGATCTTAGTTTTAGCTGCGCTACCTGGGAAATTTTCAGGCCAGGCCAGGCCAGTCCAGTCTCCTTTATATTTGCTCTTCCTGTCTCCATCACGTAACACTCTTCCTCTTTCATATTGAGTGGCTAAAATTATAATTGCTTTCAATTGTCGACACACGAAGCTCTCGCATCGGATCAGCGGGTGGACATGGACAACAGACAGTCTGACAAACAGACAAATGGACAGAAAAGCGGAGACAGAGGCACAAGCTGGCAAACACTTGGCCAGACAGATGTCAGATAAGCCAAGAGGCGAGAAAAAGTTGGTTTATACCCTCTCCAAATTTGAAGATTTTGCTGGGGACTATCCGAAGTACAGATGTATTTTAGCTCTTCCAAACAAAAAACAATTAAAAATCTTAGGAAATCGTTCAATTTTCATTAAAAGAATAACTAAAAACATTTTTGATTACCCAAAATAAATCTATGTGACCATTATTAAAATATCTTTTGTCTTAATGTTTACCTCAGTTTTTATTTTCTATCACTCGATCAGCAATAGATAGCTTATTAAATGTTAGAGTAATCATATTTATGACTTTTTCAAAGTTTTTTTCTTTTTGGGAAAACTTTAATTGAATCCTTATGACCGTTATTAAAATAAGTTTTGCGTATGTTTACCTTAGTTTTCATTATCGGTCAGCACTAAATAGCTCCCTAAATGTTAGAGTAGTCATAATTTCGAATTTTTCAAAGTTGTTTCCATCATTTTCCTTTTCTTTTTCATGTACCCGCCCACACAAAAGTAAGAGGCGTCGGTGAGCAGGCGTCTGAGGAGGCCTTGATGGCATTTCAAAAATGTTTCGCTTTTTACCAGAACTGTTGGAGAAATGACGCCCGCCACATGACACAACCTCAAGTGACCTTGGTCCATGCGCAAGTGCTCCCCTTTCCCTTCCCTCGGTCAGACGAATTTCACACAGAAAATGTTGTCTTAACACTCTATAAAATAAAACTAACGAAATTCCACAATTAACCCCTGACGATCAGCAATCAGCTGTGGAATGGCTTTTATGGCCATCAGATGTTTTAGCTGGGCAATTTAGTGTTTTCGCCTTTTCGGATTTGCGTAATTTCGTTGTTCGGGTAAATGTTTCTGAAAAATCAAATCCAGTGGAGGCCGCCCGAAGGTCGCTCAAAACATCCGAAGAAGCTTGTTCTCCACGGTCGAGATCCAGCTGATTATGTGGCTAATTGTCCAGGTGATTTATGGCCAAGAATTGCTTATACACCTCTTTATATGGCGCCTTTTAATTGTTTTTGTTTATGGTAAACAGAGGTAGTAGTACTGGGCTTTCGAACAACAAAGAGATGAAATGTGTATATGGACCAGGGCGTCTAAAGTGTTGTAAATAAACAGGGAAGTAAAAGAGGGCCAGACAACCCATCAAAAATGATAGTGAGTAAACAGACAGTGAACCAGCAAAATAATGCAAAGCACATCTATGCATAGTTTGAATTGGTTTTCCAAAAGCAACACAAAATAGACCTATGTATGTATATCTTTGATTTAGAAACTATACATGATCAAATAACTTGTTTATTACATATGAATTAATTACTATATACCCATATCAGTTTCATCTTTATCAAAGGGAAAGAGTTTTCACTGATCCATCAACCAATTATTTATTTCCCCCTTTTATCTGATCTCTGATAAGTTGTACCTTCTTTTTGAGTATCTGATCTGGTTTCTTAGCTTTCTCCAAATTAGCATAACACCCGCATTTTGTGAAGCAATCTCTATCTCTCTTTCCTCACGCTTTCATCTTAACATATTTATCCAACCGTTTAACCCAATGAAAAACAAATTAGGCGGAAAAACTCCGTTGACAAAACGGTACAAGTTGAGAACCCAGAAAAACTGATTAGTTTGAGCCAAGAAATCCCTGACAAATCTGGTTAAAGAACCTCAGCAGACTACCCACAGCGGTTGATGGTATACACTCTTATTTATGTTCTTATTATGCAAAAGTCGGGGAAGGAAGACAAGAATATTACAAACCCTAGACAACAATCAACTTTTGGGCACGCCTTGCACTTCCATTCGTTTCATGGAGTTCGCTTCTCCATTTAGCTGGAAATTAAGTTCAAGTTTATCTTGACGCACTTCAGAAGAACTCTTATTTTGAAAGAAAATCAAAAAAAAAAAACATATGGGGAGAACGTGTCGTGCCAGTCTCTTAGCACCTCATTTACACCCAGATCTTCTGCTCTTGGAACTACGATTTAGCCCCTTGGATTCCCATTCCCATTTCGATTCGGATCTCAACACGCAATTTCTGGCTATGTCACAATTTTCGTTGTAACTTCAGGAGAGACGACAAACTAGAGCGATAACCATCGATATGTTTGGACTAAAGTGTGGGAAATTCTCCAACAATTGCCACTGTCTCCCCATGCTTTTCATTTGAAATTATGAATTTCTCACACGCCAGCGATTAATTATCGTTAAACGCTGGCATATCGTCGATATCTGGTGATTGAAGGAGGGAAGGGGGCTAGAGGTACAGTCTTCATTAGCATGTGCTTGTATGACTGTAATTATCGTGCAATAAAAACGTGAGTTGCATTCGTCAGACGTCTATTTATTTTCTATTTATGCCGGGCTTTTCGTCAGAGATATCAAATGCAAAGAGGTGAGTTTATGAGGTTGCCTGGGAGTTGATCGATGGGTTCGGTGAGGATAAGAGAATAAAAGTATATTCGAATTTTTTAGAGCAATAAATTTTATGAAGAGTCTATAATGCGTATGGTCGTTTATTATCGGTTTTGAAGGCCTATTAAGCAATTTTTTAAACATTCACAGCAATAAAATAAACGTTCAAATATTTAAGATTATTTGTGCAGCTCTCTAATGCTCAAAACATATGTAATTATCGCTTTCCCTTTTTTTAGTATCGGTAGTTTTATGTTTATGGATTTTATTTAGCTAAGCTTTTTTTTCAATTTAACTAATACATGCCTTTTTAAAACACCTATTTCACAATTTCCAAAAAAAAATATTGTTAAAATAATTACCCCTGTTCTCTCATTTTGCTTTAAAATAATTTTAAATATCTTAATAAAACGTTACATGAGGAATAATTTTAAAAGCTTTGCCTTTGATTAGCTACACTTTCTTAAGTGTCCATAATTCGCATATTGGGGTTTAAATATATAACTCTCAGTCGTTCCTATGATTTTCTGTAAACTGAGCGAAATTTCGCAACAATTACTCAATTCGCCACAAAACATTCAATGAATTTTAATCCAGCGGTGACAACGGCAACAACGGCGACAACAGCAACGACTCCGAATGCGAGTGGAAAAACTCTCCAATGGCGCGACAAAATTGCAGACACAAAAAACACCAACAATAACAATAACATCGGCTGCAACAACAATCGCGCAACAACTCCACCGCGTTGACAACCCGCACAGCAGACAACAACAATTGGCAAGCCAGCAACATGAGCAACATGAAAAATTCCAAGTCATATGGAAAACGGGCAACATGCACCACCAACCACCACCCCCGCGCCATGCACCACCCCTCGCCCCCTCGAACAACCCACAGCAGCGACAATATTATTACTTTCATTGTTGTTGCTGGTGTTGCTGTTGCTGGCGTACGGCAAACATTTCCTGGTACAGCAGCAACTTGAACGTCCACAATTTAGCTCAACTATTACAAATCGCATTAGATGCTAAATTTAGCAAAGCAGAGGAAAAAATCAAGCATTGAAGTCGCTGCATTGGTCCAAGCAACATCAGCAATAGCAACAGCAGCAACTGTTGCTGGCGTGCCTCGAACGTGCAACTTCGACAGGCCGTCGGCCATAGTTTGCATATTTTCACTTTAGACCCTGCCAGTTCTCGGTGTTCTCGGTGTCTGACCCTAATCTGCGGACAGTGCAACATGTTGCTGCAGTACTTGGGGCATTATATAGACCGATCTGGCGTGGGTGTAGCCCACGCCATAAAGCCCACGCAGGGAGATGCTAATGCCCGATTCCTGAACCACGCAATTGTTCATAATTTGCAGGTTGCTGACGGAGATTTTATGGTAGAGTTGCGGGAAGGGGTACACCCAAAAAAATACAGTATATTGTTAAAACATTTACCAAAACAAATTAAAAAAACTGACATGTAAAGAATTACAGTCTTGAAAAAGACAAAAACAAATTTCCTTTGTATTTTGGTTATTATATATGATTAACTAAGAAATCCAACAATTTCAATGTCTAAAGAAATATTCAACTGAAACCAGGACAATCAAAGTCAAAGTTTTGCTATATTTCACTTTCAATGTAAGGAAACATTTAAAGGTGTTGCTTGGCAAAATGGAAATGAAATATTGACAATTGAAGGCGAATTTGATTGGTTCGATGCAAAAGCGAAAACAAAGGCATGCAAACAAAAGTCGCGAGTTGACATTTGGCAAATGTCAATTCTTCAGGTAAGGTTGCTGGTTGCTGGCAGCACCATAAATCGCATTTGAAGATGTCGCAGTTGCGCCACACGACACCGCAGCACCTTGTTGCCGCTGTGCGGCGATGACTGCTCTCGTTTGTTTGCATTTCGCATTGGGCAACTCACTGCGCCGATTCCCGATTTCCCCGACTTTCCCAGCGAACGGTGGCCATCGATCGATATGGGAATGTGGCCCGTTTAACCAACAGCTGCCGGCAAGGCAATTTGCTATTGTTGATCGTTTATTGTTGTTATTCTGGATTTTCTTTATGCCTTTCCTCGGCGATCATAAATCAATGGCCCAGAAAGCCAATGTGTGCGATCAGAGATCGAATCAGATCACAAATCCCCAATCTTATCCGTGATAATACGATGCCCCTCTATCGAACTGGCATCAAATAATGAACCATTAGAGGAGGGTAATTGAAAAACCAGGGGAAAAAAAAGCTCGAAAGAAGAGAAACCCCAAGGAATATTAAGCCAGCAATCTGTCATTATCTTAGCCAGAAACTAGATCAGCGAACGGTTTTTGCTTGGGCAGGAATGTGATTTATAAAACCATTTTAGAGCCACCCAGTTTATTTTTGCAACTTGCGGTAGCATTGTTTTTCATTACATGCGGTCAAGTTTTTGTTTGTGGGCTATTTTGGTTTTATTTTTTAAAAGAGCAGTAAAGGCTAATTACTTTAACTAAGGAAAGTAACGCTGGCACAGCAAAAAAAAACTATAAAGAGCTGAGCTAAAAAAATCCATTGTTTATCTTCCGTATTTCATCTTAAATTGTGGGTGTGCCCCCAAAGATTTTACATAGTTATTGTGATTTAATTTGTGCTGCTTTCCGGGACACATAAGCAACATGCAGCATTCAACCTGCAACTATCGACTTGCAACATGTGTAAGCAATCAACGTGCATAAATTGCAGTTCCGATTCGATTCCGACGTGACTGCCAGCCAAATGGGTAACCACTCCCCTCCGCCTCCAATTGTCAATTATTATGCGATTTGCATTCACTCATTTTAAAGCCTCGTTTTGTGGTTCAAAGGAGGGAAAGAAAAAACCAAATTTGCATATTTCTTTTTAAGCTTTGTGCTTTGTTTTTTTTTTTGGGTGTGGACTTGCAGACTGGTAGCAAGTTTGAGGATTGATTTATGTCGGTATTTGATTGATGTCTGCTGCTGGTTAGCAAAGCGATGAGGCCAATTAAATTCATAAATATTTTGATCATACCCCACTGATGGACGTTAATTGGTACATGGAAATGGTGGCCAATTAGTAAGATTAGAAGAATGATGACAGCTCCAAGGTCCCGCAAGAAGATAACTTGATTTTCTCGCTTGATTCTCCCACTCGTTCCCAAAGATCGTTTCCCTTTCAGCCGGCAGACAGATGTTTCCCAGCCTCCAGTTCAACCTTCAACCCGTTGAAAAAGCAGACAAAGGTCTCGTGGTCTCGGTCTGCTAGACAAACACACAATTTCCCAAGAATAAACAACATAATCCCAAGGAGAGGGACTGAGAAAAAGAGTAGGTGCAGGCGAGATATAATAACAATAATAACAACAATAATGGGGCATAATTCAATGCAATTCAACTGCATTTGTTTATCGAACTTGTTGCTGCCGCCACTTGCAACATGTTGCCAGAGTTTTAGGTGTGGGAAACAAAGAGAAGAGGTGGAAAAAGATGCAACAAAGAAAAATAAGTTGGAAAATACATCAATTTCAGTAGGCAAATAAGGTCTGGGTTTTTCAGTACACAGGGTTGTTAATCTCTATCATAAGTTGTCTAGAATTATTGTCTAAATAAGAATGTAACCATCTTTATTTTAATAAAGTTAAATGTATTTCAATAACTTATAAAATCTACTAGGGTATTTATAAAATCGGTCAACAAGCCTTCTTTCCTTCTGGTGATTTATTTATGATTTTTTTTTGAATTTCCCAAAGTTCAGGCACGTCGTAAATTTGATTTGGTTTATTTCCATTTGCCCTGCTCTGCTCATTTCGGTCACTTTCATTTGGTTTCGGTGCTGATTTTCGAGCTGATTTCGGAGTTTACCGTCTTGCCGTTGACTTGTGTGAACTCTGAAGTTGAGGGCGCATAAATTTCACTTTTACTTTTCGCAGTTTTTGATTTTTATATTGCTTTAGATATAAATACATTTCTTTATGGGAGCTACTTAAAGTTTAACCCCGCTGATGAAGAAGCGGGGAAGTAGTTACGGGAGGCAAGCCATTGACTTGGGCAAGCCGTGAGTTTATTACGACACTTGGTAAATGGGGCACTGAGAGAAATACCTGTAATTGAAGATCAGGTCCTGGTTTGGTTAGCTATAAATATGTGGAGTTTTTGGTAAGATCAATAACCAGAAATACAATATATATATACATGCATTTCACAATGCACACAGACATCTAATTTTCTCTGAGTGCAAACACTTGTGACATTTCCGTCTGTCCCGCGTTTGATTCGCTATTTTTTGGCTATACAGCAGCCGCCTTCGTTTGAAGTCTTGGCCTGGCTAATCTCCTTTGGCCAGAAATTGGATGCATTGCAAATGTGGAGCAGCGAATTCCCCCCGCGGGCAACCCGAGCAAAATGTGGCCAGGAAAGTGTTGAAAATTGCCAAGTGGATCGGCCCACATAGAGATTGGACATGGACGGATCGGATCCCGGGGGGATGCAAATTATTGCATCAGAGAGGCAGTGGAAAATGAAATTGTTTCTGCAGCAACGAGAGGAAATCCTAGAGGTGGATAAAAGCCTGCTCGGGGCGAAATCAAATGAAGCGGTTCACAAAAAAAAAAGGTTAAATGCCCCACAGCCGGAGGCCTCTAATAGAAGGTGCGGGAAGGAAGCCAGCCAAGAAGACTCTGTGTGTGGGTCATAGTCAGATAGTCAGAAGCCGCCTCTTTTTCAGTGCGTGTCTTGAATGAATTATTTACACACTAAGCCCAGACACGGGGCCAGAGAATTTTGCGCTTCCTACTCCGCAAATTACCCACAATTAAGAGGGGTGCATGAAAAACGCTTTCCAATTACCAGACAAAGAGGCGAAGAGGAGCAGAGAACTTTAACCAGGAAACGTTTAGAGCTACGAGGAGGATCCATCCATCTATCCACACTCGTTGTTGGCAGGAAACTGGGTCAACGTGTCTATAAGGCGAAATTGACTTTCACTGGATCTAAACACGAAACGGATGCCGCAGAGAGGAACAGAATGGTCGGTGAATTAGACTGGGGTATGGAATTAGCAGACGGAGAGAGGAAAAGGAGTTACTGATCAGATGGGGATTGTAATTCTCATCTTTTCATGTAAGGTTAAAAAATATGTAAAATATCCATTGATTTCTGAAAATTAAATCTAGAAACAACATTTAAAATAACATTATGATCTCAAGTCATTGCAAACATTTTCTTAGTTATTTAAATGAAAAAAATTGTAAAAAATTATACAAAATATTACAAATATAATAAATATAAAATATCTTTTTCCGGGAAAATTCTTTACTTTCAGTTCCGTTGTCATATCATATTATTTCATCAATAAATGTCCCTTTACTCCAAAATATTATATTAAACTCAAATTGTATCAATTAACTTGTCTCTTCACACTTCTTATGCATAACTATTGCTTTTCGCATCATAGTAATACCATTTTCTGAAAATGTTTCTCACATTTAGATCCGTCACCTTCCCATCGAACAGGAACCAACGAGACACACCTCGATCTACCGCTACCACCCAGGCGAAACTCATTCATCTTTCTCCCAAGTTCGTCTCACTATTCAATTGCATTGCTCGGCACTTTACCGCTTTCCCAATACATTTTTGTCGCATTGCCGGCATTTTCACTAAATAAATTAATTAAATCACTCGCAACCGAGTTATACAAAAACGTAATTAGAAATTTCCACAATTGGCAATGGCAATGGCGAGGCGACGAACGGCGGATGTGCGGGGAAAGCGGCGCCAAATGCATTTTCTTTCTTTCCAAGAATCCCTGGCATCTCGAATGATTTTCCCTTGTGCTGGCTGGGAGTTTTCTTTTTTATTACCAAGTAGATAATCCAAAGTGACAAAAGTCGAAGACACACACGCCAAGGGCACTGCTTTGCAGAGGTTATTTTTGGAAAATCCCTAATCGATTCAAGTTCATGTAGATGAGCTATAAATTAGTGTGATATATGTTGGCTGGCTTTTAATGCTAAGTGTGTTCTTAGAAGATTGAAGAGAAACAATCTTCGTAAATGACTATTTAAAAGTTATACTAAGTTGAAATAGACCACCAGACAGTAAGTTATACAAGTATGTATTATTTACTGGTATATTTATCTTCTCTCAGAACAAAGTTAGTTAAGGTGAAAGCGCATGTCTGTTCACAGACGATATTTGCATTTAAAACAAATAGGAAACATTTTCAAAGTAATAATGTAAATGTTTTAATATTAAATAATGCATATGTGATTTTATACTATTTGAATACGAAATATAACATTTTGGATTTAATAGCCAGATAATTATTCTAACTATTTATTTTATTATAAGTTAGTGATATATATATGTATTTCGCAACTTACCGCTGTGGAGCTTCGTTTCCTTAGCAGGTTATCCAGGCACAGTTGCAGTTCGAAGGCCTTCAGATACAGCAGATGATAGCGGTCCCTCAGTCGCTCCAAGTTCCCTTCGCCCTTCTTGGATGGGTGGTGGCTGCCACTTGGTGGTGGGGCAGCTGCCGTGGTTCCAATGGCAGTGGTGGGTGTGGTCACCGGATCGGAGGCGAAACCACTGCTCAGGCTGCTCGACTTCGTAGCCGAGTCGCTGGTTGACTCACTGGAGCAGTTACTGGTCAATGAGGCGGGCTGTTGACTCGACAGTTGCTGCTGTTGCTGTTGCTGCTGAAGTTGCAATTGTTGCTGCTGCTGCTGCTGCTGCTGGAGTTGCTGCTCCTTTTCGGCGGCTCGAATGCAAGAGCTCACCACTCGAGCGTGTGATACAATTTCATGGTACAACACCTGGAATCAAAAAGAGAGCGCACACAGCAAAAAGGGAAATTAAATAGGTGTCGCTGGGTTAAACTTATGTGGCTAACATGACGTATACTTGATATGCCCAGGCAGCTAATTGATTAGGCAAACAAGGGATTGGGGTGAAAGGGTGATGTTGTGGTTAGAGAAAGGCTTGGCTCGAAAGGATATTGTTTCAGAGTGACTTGCAACCACATAAGAGATATGTATTTTTCATATAATGACTTGAAGGTTTTATGGCTTACTTGCTTTGCTAAAGTAATTATAATATTTTAAACGAAAAACATTAAAACATAATTAATTGTACCCAGCTTTTTTTTTAAGAAAATATGGTAATTAATTATATCCGCCTTTTCAACTTTCTTTAACCTATTTAGTTTCATATTCTTATCCTAAATCTTAAATTCCTTCTCCTTATAACTTTCCTTCCCGTTAAACTTAAACTTTTATGCCACATTATCTCAAAGATATCCTCCTCCCCTTGGAATTCCAATTTCAACTCCTGCAACAGCATTTAGCGCCCAACTGCAGCGATATGGCATCGCTCATTTGTCATTTTAACAGCTGCCGGGCCTTGCCACGCCATCATCCGCATCTTTATCCATCTCCTCCAACCAAAGGTCAAATCGGAAAAGTCCCACGCATTGCATAAGCTCCATTGCCATTGTTCCGTCATTAATCACACAGAAGAGGGAGAAAAGAAAGATTTTCCGCACAGAGCGATATTCAATTTATTAAACATCAAAAAAATAATTACAAGACAATTGACGCCAAAGGGTCATAAAAAGGGGAAAGGTGGGCGTGACACCCAGTGACACCCACACACACACACATGAGATAGCCGAGGAAAATGCGAGGCAGGAAAACTCCCAAGCGGGCTTCCACAATCTGGACATTGATCTCCATACAAACAGTTTAACCCCGGCGATCTCTTGCATCACCGACAAAATATGAAAAATCAACAAAAGGTGCGCAAACGTTGAAATTAGAAATCGATAAGTATGGGGGAAAAGGGGGAGATGCTTTTAGAGACAACCTTTTCACCCCAAAGTGTTCGAAACCATGGACATTTATTTATGGCCCCGACACATCCTTACTCAACTCGAAGCCTAGAGCTCCTCGATCGAAACGACCCGAGACGAAACGAAACTCAATGCAAACATAAATTTCAATTTTCACCTGTTTGAGATCTTCATTGAACTTGCATTTCCATTTCTTGCCTCCCATTCGACACTGGCAAATTGAAATGTCACAGAGATTTGGGGTCTGGGCTTTGGAAAATGGCAAATTTATGAAAATATTTTCCTTGGACAGCTCGCCCTCTCTTGATTTACCTTGGGTAATGGCCAAATTGACACTCAAAGGCAGCTGCCAAAAAAAACCTCTGGCAAAGCCATCTCTGCGGCTCCACTCTGCCATTTTCAGTTTGAAGAATGATCCGAGAAAGCGACGCCGCGAGAAATATTTATGGGGAAGCCTTACCAAATCTACCCCCCTCCCTTCGAAAAGCGGAGGAAAATCGGGAAAGTTTTGACAGGCTGCTTGGTATTTTTCTCCTTTTTTCGGTCGGTTACTTTTACTGCCATCGAATATTTCTATGCAGTAAATTTAATTATATTGGGGGAATTTCAAAGACTGTCTTCAAGTTGAAGGCTGTCAAGGAGTTTTTTTTTAAAACTTGTCATTTTAGAGTTTTCAATCCATTTTTACGTTTGATTTATATTTTACTCATCTAGAGGGATTAGAAGTAACTTACTTCTATCATCAGTTTTTCCATTTTATTTAAAGTTCTTTCACTTATTTGCAATAGCTTAAATTTAATTATGTTGGTGGAGTTCTTCCACTTATTTCCAAAAGCTTAATATGACAATTTGAAAGATTTGTTTGTATGTATAGCTATTTAGCCAAGCCAAGCAATTTTCTGCATCAAATTGTTTTGCATTATGATTTTTATCATTATATCTAATTATAAGACAGCAGAAACAAAAGAATTCTGCGGGGCGCAAGCAGAAACGGATCTTTTTTTCAGAGGCTTGGCCTGCTTGGTTAGGCAAATAGATAAATGAACCCAACTTAACCAAGTCGAGTCAGCGAAGAAGAGGGCCTGTGGCAAAGAACAAACTTTGGAAATATATGGGGAGGAGAAGACGCTGCGAGTAAGACCTCAACACGCAGGAGGAGTGGAAGTGGAAACAGAAGACCGAGGAGGAGGATCCGGAGAGGCAGGTGTGGGTTGCCCATTTGCGATACTTGAGGCTCATTACTAGAATGAAAGACCAGCGAGCGAGCGGAGAACCCGAGCCGCAGCTTCGACTTCGAGCTTAGACAAAAACCCAACCCTAGTCAGCCAAAAGCCACTACGTTGTAAGTCTTTTTTGGAGGAACGCCTTTCTCTTTGTTTTCGGTCTGCGGACTCAGTCTCAGTCTCAGCTCCAAAGCCAAAACCAAACTGAATTGAACCACTCCCAATCTTGGCACGACTCTAAGGTCTGGCAATGCTTTAATGCATTAATGCATTTGCCGCCATTTGCCACCCACCCACTTGAGGAGCGTTCAATATGAGAAATATGAGAATTTAGAATGCAGAACTTTATGCAAAATTCGTGACTAATCTGCGCTGCCTGAACTTGAGGAGCAGCCGTGTAGCCGTGTACTTTTCTATTATTTTCTGCCCAGCACCAGTCTCTCAAGAGGTCTCAAGATTATTGGCGAGCGTAGGAAGTAATAAAAGAAATCAGGGAAAACAAATTGAAGTCAGTGCGAAGTTCTCGAGATTGAAATCTGATGCAGAAAATAAACCAGCAAGAGCGAATGGCAAGAAAAGTGAATGTGTGTGCCTACAGTGGTGTGAAAGTGTTTGAAAAACAAGCCTTAATTTCAGAGCATGAGTTTGCAGAAATTACAAAAATGATTGAGAAGCTTTTCAAAAGTTTAAGGAACTGAAGACGAACCCAAAGGTTTATTGATTTAATAGCTCTTACTGGCATTAAAGTGAAAGGAAATACTTTAATTTAAACTTGAATGTTACATTTAAACATCTCTGTTTTAAAATAAAATCATATCTTCTTAATAACCTTCTGTTTTTTATTTAATTTATCATAATACTGCTTAGAAATAATGTTTGACAACCGTGATAAATGCTTACGATTAAGCAAACCATAAGTGCAACAATTATAAAGCTTTTCCGCATTGAAAAATTAGTTTTTCCCGTTCAAATTTTAATCTTCTGCTGGCTAATTGTTTTTCTTCACTACCACTGCCCATTTTATTCGACTTAGTCATAAGAATTGCAACACATTTTAGGCATTATAGGAATTTACATTGTGTTCCTACGAAACTTAATTTTTTCCTGCCTTTTTTCCCCAGTTTTCTTTGCGCTGTTTATTCATGCGAAATGTTCATCGCCCCTTGGAATCGGTCAAAATAAGTTCCTCTAATGCGTCGGCTATTTTTACCAGCCGCAACTCAATAGAAACTGTGTGCTGGGCACGTCGCCTATCTATATCTCTATATCTTGGATGTCTGCGGCCGAGGTTCGTTGACTCAGTGTCTCTCTGAATTGTTGTAATTCGGCGTGGCTGAGAATGACCAAAGAATTGAGCAATCGGCTTTGGCCATACACAACAAAAAAGCAACAATGGCCCACCAGATCGTACATTCATTATCGGAAATGCCAGTGCGTGACCTCGACCGCGTTTTTAGAATTTTACAATTTTAGGTTTACATTTTATTGGTCTTCGGTCCCAGACAACGCCTTCAGATATTGTTTGATTCGCCGGAGGTTGATTATGAATAGAACTTTGCAGTATTGTTTAAAATTAACAAAAGACATTAATAAATGTCCGCAGCAGTGGCGATTAAAAGGCTTGAAAGTCTCGCCCAAAACGTGCCCAAGAATTATGCTGAATTTATGGTATTTGGTATAAAAAAAATTAATTTTAACTATGTAAAAGACCAAAAGACTACATATGCAAGCATACAAATCTTTAACATTAAAGGTGTTTGGTCCTAAATTTTTATTCGACTCTCATATACTCTTTATCTATTAGTAATATTTTAAAGGAAATTATAAATAATCAATAATAAAATATTCAACCATAAAAAAAATACAAATGTATTCTACTGAAAAGAATCGTTACACATTTACAACTGCATCCCCTTAAAACACTTTTTAAAACGCTTTTAAATTGTCATAAATCTCTTCCCAGAAGGAATCAAATTTATTGCTAATTTTTTATAAGCAGGATCAACAGCAACCCAAATTCCACCCAGAAAATGTCTTATAGCGAAAATTTCCAAGATGTCACATAAATTTGGAGCGCACGAACAAAAAATAAATTGTTCTTTTTTGAACGTTTTCTATTTCTTCTTTTCTTTTTTGCAAACATTTTTACGTGAAGTAGTCACGACATTTGGAACACTTCCAAATCGGCCTAAAAATAGAGTTCAACGAAATAGAATTAGACGAAAATCAGGCGGCGACTCTAATTACCCAAAGAAATTGCTGCGAGACGGAGAGAGAGAGAGTTGATAAATGACAAACGGAAAAAAGAACCAATAAACAAATTGACAAAGTCCGGGAAAATGAGATGAAGGTGCAGTGGAGATGGGTTTTCCAGGTTGAAAGACGACCCCAAATGTGCAATTAATCAGCTGACCCAGAAAACCACTCACAGTTCTTCAGTTTTCACTAGAGGAATTGATGTCGTCGACGTGTGTGCTGTGACCAAATGCATCGGGAATTAACTCGGACAGGGTAGACGGCTTTGAAGATCCCGATCTTAAGAGTGTGTGAAGTTAAGTCGGGAGTCGCAGTTAAAGCCCGACCTGGCCTATTGAGTAACACATATCGGACAAGGAGTTTGAGGTTAGCATGGGGCCTGGCTGGCTTCTGATTCCAAACACCGTTGACATAATCACGTCCGAGTGTCACGTTCAACTCCCCGCCGGCGACAAAGATGATGGCCGGAATCCCGTCTCGTCTCGCT